GAAATCTCGACTAACAGTAAAGCGCGTAAAGTCAAAAACAACTAAAATCACAAAAAAATATTTAATAATAAAAGTCAAACGTAATATGTAGATGAAATGCAAGTAGAGCGTCACAATAGAGTTGTTAGCGTAAGAAACCTGTTGCTGTTGTTTTGTGGTTGTAGTTGCCGAGTTACAATCGTCGGTTTGCCGCCTTTTGTAGAGATGAGCGCTTGTGTGTTACTTATTGTTTGCGTGCACGTACGTATGTTTGTATGTTTTATTTTTTTTGACTGGCTGTAGAGGTAATTTCTTTGCTTCGATTTGCTTTACGGTAAATAAAACTTTGCGGTGTACCGCTAACGTAGTCGCGACAATTTCGAGTGGCAAAAAACACGCAAGAAAGGTAAACAAAAGCCAGAAAGGCAATGAAAAATGCAAGCAAAACAAAAAAGTGGCAAAATCAGTGCTGATATATGACAAGAAAAACAAGCAAATTATATTTCAGACAACCTGATGTGCAATAAAAAATTAATGAAATATTTTTATTTTATAAAACTGTATAAAAACCAAAAAAAAAAATAAAATAAAAATAAAAAATTTAAGTGCGTTTGAAAGTACATTTATGCCAGTTTCGCATGATTGTAGTTTTAAATTGTAGCAATATTTTTTCCAATAACTAAAACTGCCAATTACTGTGTACATTTTTGGTGTAACAACTTTTTGTTTTGATTATAGCGTTTTTCTGCTAAGGTAGATTGCACATAATTTGCTCAGAGCGCATGCAGTCACATGGGCTAAAAGAAATAAATTTTATCGGCCGCAAGTTCCAAGAAAATTGAAGAAAATATTTAATTATTCCAAGCTTACAGAACAGGCAGGTACATCCCAATTAATGTTTATTTTTAATTTTTTAAGTGCCGAATCTGCAATATATTTACCATATATTATTTTTTGTTGTATTAACAATATTTTATAATTGAAGCGGCCTAGACTGTAAACAGTTTTTGATGACAGAGGCAAAATAGATGTAGTTTAACCACAAACCAGACCTCACATTTAAATAAATACACAACTTAAAGGGGGTTTTCCAAAGCACAATGACTCGATTGTATGGAAGAAAAAATGAAGTATGCGTGCAGCAAATAGCGGATCAACTAGCGTCAGTAATATACTCGTATGCTATTGCTATGATAAGCACCAACAAGTTTTTACAAAAAATTAAAATAAATTATGGAGAATATTAATTAAGTGTTTAGGGCAGCCTTTTCCAGGAAGTACCACTTTTGTTATAAACAAAGTCCGTCGAAATCGAATAACTAAGTTTTTTGTTTGATATTTAATTGCAAAGATGAATGTAATTTTAAGATTAGAAAATTATGTGTAGCAAATGTCAATTAGTATGCGGTTGAATGTTTTTTTTTTTGTTTTTCAAACTACTAAAATAGTTTTTAATGCTCGCGGTGACTATCTGTGTGTTTCTATGGCTATTAAAATTATTTACGCTCAATAGTGACTCAATGACTTTTTACTTTTTTTCCCTTTCATCATTGTAACGTACCCGGTTCTCCGGTTTATAGCTGGGCTATCTCTCAGCCGGATTATGGGTCTCTCCTATAATCTCGATAGAAAAAGGACAACACGGATGGTTCTACCTTACACACTTAGCTTTATTTTCAAATGTTCTACTGGCAGCGTTTGCACGTCACACCATATATTCTACCTACGACAGCACAAACAGAAGTGTCGTATCACTGCTGATGCTGCTCCTTTTATACTAAATTTTCCTACAGGTAGACAGTTATGCACTACCTTTTGTTGGTAGGCCTATCGCCTGTTCTCTTTTGCCCTACTTAACAGCGATGGCTCGCTACGGTAGTGCCTAGCTTAAATTTCATATGTATACAAAGTGTATATATGTTTATATATATAATCTTATACTTCTAAAATATAATTAATTATTTATATATGTAAATATATATATATATATTTGTAGGTACTTCATGTTATATATATATATATATGTTGTAACTTCTCTTTCGTTGTTGTTGTTCTTGCTGTGGAGGCTTCAAGGCCTCGGACTTGGGGTCTTCACATCATTTGTATTATTTTTCAATTTTATACATTTTTATTTTTCTTTTAATTTTTTTTTTTTTAATTTTCATTTGCAATTATTACATTTCGTTTTGCATACTTTTGCCGATTTTAATGCGGTTTTGGTTTTGATTTATTCTCCATTACAAATTAACCGACAATCAGCTGTTCAAAACAAACAACTTCTACGCGCATGCGCTTTTTCAAGGTTTCGCGCAAAGCCAACATCACGACCGTTGCATGCTGTAAAAGGTTAAATATTGTATAAAACAGTGTTCACATTGCGTTTGCCATATCACATGTGTCATGTTATTTGACTTTAAGTCAATCACCTGAAAATATCTAAATAATATATTAGGAAAAAAAAACATTGTCGAAAAAGAGCATGCAAAAAAGCGCTCACTTGAATTAAAGCGAATCACACAATTAAATGTTGCTGCACCCAAAAAACCAGTTAATTTGGGTTTTTCGGTTTTATTTGGCTTAGAAGTCGATGTTAAACGTTGTGTTTCCTTTCAAAGTTGCCATTTAGCGCTTTCGGACATACATATGCTCAAACACATATGCCAGTAGCTATTGGTTATTAAAAATTTGGTTTGGACATTTTCTTACTTAAAAAGTTGTAGTAATTACAATTTTTCAATTTTCAGTTTTACGCGAAATGTGGTAATTGCTTATTATCTCATGATATGCCACTGATTTTTATCTGAAAATCGTTATAATTACAACTAATTTGAATTAAAATGCTTTTAGCAGCCAAGTATGCTTTCAAAATAAGTGTACAAACTTATTTTTTACGTCTAAAATATTATAGCATGCATATTTGCAATAAAAAGTAAAAGTAGTCCACTTACTGATTTTTCAAATGTTTCGAAATAAATTATAATAAAATTATATGAATTAGCCATAAAGTACTCGTTTTATAAGCTAGTACTGCCTTGAGCAATCTTAATTAATTTGTATATGAATTTGCCGATTTGCATCGACTTTTACGGGCATTCACTTACAGGCAGGTAGGCGATAGGAACTCACCCTTTTTGATTTCCATACTGGATTTTGTGCATAAATTCTTAAAAGAAAAGCAATAAAATTGTAGTTATTTGTGTTACTAAAAAATGTTACTGTTATCCAAGTATTTTTTTTGTCTTTCAAAGCTTTATATTATTTCTTAAATATTGACATTATTGAATCAGCAATAAGTAAGCAGTCTAACCACAAATAAATCCCCACAATACAGTTGTTTTATTTCGAAATTATAGCTTACGTGGAGTATTTAATTCTGATTTTTTATATCCGTGAAAGTATTTGACGATTTTAACACTTAAAAATATAGGATTAACGATTTCGTGATTTTAAAAGAGCAATGCTGTATTGTCAAACCAAACATTTTTTGACTTACTTCATTGTAAGGTCATTATTAAAATGTTTCGCTTAACAACTGCACAAAGCTTTAAAATTGTTAAAACCTACTGAACACAAAAATGGTGATTCAAATGAAACCACGTTTCGTGCTTTTAGAGGAGATTATGAATCGCCCAACTACTTAAGCGAATGATAAAATTTTAAAGAAATTTGAAGAGACTGAATCGCCTCCAGATATTCTAAGGCCTATACATAACCACACTGCTCATTCCACCTCAAATATCTATACTTCAAGTGACATTGAAGACCCGACACCTACACCTGAATTATGTTAAGCTGATCATTAACAACGCCGTACTTACGCCGATCGGGTGCTAGTACAACAAGCAATGGTCGGCGATTTTTTGAAGAAAATTTTCTCATTCGGGGAAATGTTAATAAGCGAAATTGATTTAACACTGTTGGACTCTTTTTGTGAGGCTACGTGAAAGTTATGGCCGAGAAATCTTTCAAAATGTGCCGAAAAGTGGTTGTAAATTACCTCAAACATACCGAAAATTACTAAAATTTAGTACAAAGTCTGATGTACTAAAACAGGAATTTCATGAAAAAAAAATATTTTAAATGCTTTTTAATTTTCGATAAATGTAATTGCCGGTTGTGATCTTTCAATAAAAAAATGCTAAATGAAATGACGTCAAAATAAACAACAAGCTGGTTAAATCAATTTCACCAAATGCACAGCAAAAAGCCCAACTTGTTTCATTTTTGATCAAAGTCAACAAATAATCTTTGCCGGTTCAATAAAAAGTAGAATTTCAAAAAAGATAAAAGCCGACAAATAAATAATGTATATGTAAAACAACAACAACAAGCAAGTTAAATAGCGCGACGATACTGTCTTTTAATATAGTAAAATAAAAAAGATGAAAAAAAGAAGCAGGTTGTTGTATTTTGATAGCAAATTGATGCTATGACACAGAGAATTTTCCATTTATTGCTGCCTTTAAATACAAACGAGCTAATACGATTATATTTATACATATTTATTTAAGAACGATTTTTAAAGTTATTTATTAACAAACAATAAAAATCAACAAAAAATGTAAATAAGAAAAATTCAACTGGAAATATTTATAAGCTATTTTTCCAAATATATAAATGTAACTTTACTAAAAATCAATATTCAAATTATATTTATTATGCATAATTTAATATGAGAAAACCTACATAAATATATTAGCGTTGGATAAAAAAATAGAATAAATTAAGATATAAAACCCGAAAACTCAAAGACTTGTCAAAATCAATCTAGCAATATGCACAAAACACATACATACTCGCACTCACATACGTATGATTGGCTCTTGCGTTAAGTCGTTAAAACGGCCTTCATACATACGTACATACATACTTAAAATAACGATACACGATTATTCATTCACTAAGATCAGCAGCGACTTTTTATACTCCTTCTTGTTGTTCTTCTCCTAGTAATTGTTTCGTCATTTAATACACTTTATATTCACTTTAGTTACAATACGAGATTTGTGCAAAATTTTTATTTTTTAATACTTCAACGGCAGTTGTGGAGAACAGTTCAAATTCAGTTGTGCTCGTTTGTGGTGCTATGCGGTTTGCTGTTGTTTTAGCTCGGTACGGTTGTCTTGTTTGAGTCGCTCGTTGATCTGCTGTTATCAAATGTTGCTTGATCAAGAGTTAAATAATTTAATACTTTATTAGATACAGCCACCACTGCGATTCATTTGTAAGATTCGTTGATTTCAGTATTCATATCACTTTATTAGATACTTGGAATTTGATTATATGGCATTCGTGTGGTTGTTGTTGTGTCTTATGAGAAATTAAAAAATTAAAAAAATAAAACACCCACACAATTGCCTAGTGCATCGCGCTGAGTTTCGCATTTTCAATTAATTGAGGAAGTGTGAAAAGTAAACGTATTCATCAGCAAGTGACAGGTGGGTGCAAAAAAAAAAAATTAAAAAAGAGATACTAGTTGTATTGATAATAACAAATGGAGTGAGAAAATACTTTATTATTTGAAAGAAATAAAAAATGCGAAACAGGAATGGCATGCGGTGTGAAATATTGATAACGTGTGTTGAAGATATGTTCCCGTGTGCAGCTCTATCTTGAAATGTTTTATTTGATATATTTTTGAATGCAAGAATATACGAAAATGTGTAGTATTATTTGTGCATAAGTTAATTGACTGTTGTGGGTAAATCAATACAGAAAACTCTCATCATCAACTCCTTTTTAATCAATTTATATTTGTTAATTTGCTATGTTCTATATTTAATTTTTTAATTATTTATTATCTGGTTTTATCAATAGAAAAGTTTTAAGGAAATATTGCATTTTTTTGTTGCACAAGTTGTAGTAATACAAATAACATTTCAAAATACTGGTTGTGCGATTATGTGACTGTTGTTGTGGTGACCGCAAAAGTATTTCCCTGAGTATAGCGGGAATGATAGTCCTTTGCCAAATTAAAAATTCATGTCGTTCAGACAAAAAGAGTCCACTGACGATAGAACTGTTGCTTTTTATTCGCGTGCAGCTAAATCCTTAGATTGGGGAAAAACATAAATCTTAGCTTTACTAGGCTCTAGTCATACATTTGCCAGATTAAATAGAAATAATTTGTCAATTAATAAAATTGTTTGAGCCATTCATATTGCTTTTTAAACATTTTGCACAGTTTTCGTACTATTTTAGACATCAACCACACAAACCGATAATAACGGTAGCCTAGCAATAACTGGCATAAAATTAAAGCAATTTAAAAAATTTATGCACATTTTTATGCTATCTTTATTAACTAAACACTGCATTTATGCATTGAAACTGACATGTATTGTACAATAAAAAAAACAACGCAGCTCAAACATTCACCTTTAACACACCCAAACACCTAAGCTGCTGACTGGCTGTATGTACTGCATTTTAAATAACACGATTACAACAAAAACTAGCAATCACAACGCCATACAACAGGCAAGAACAATATCAGCCGTTGAGCGATTTTATAAAATATGTTGTTGTTTAGTTAAACTTTTAACTATTCCATGCTGTCATTTTGCAATTGATTGCTAATTGTTGTCGAGGCGGCAAGCGGAACTGCACTTTTTCATGTCATGATTGAATGCGGCTAGCATGCCAAATGCGTTCGGCTAACAGCTGTGTGACAGTGTGGATGAAAAGTTGAAGTAATTCACTTGATTTTTTTTTCTTAAATTCCTTATTTTATTTTATCAGTTTTCGCTATTTTATTTATTTTTATATTTTCAATTAATTTATTTTATTTTCTTTTACTTTTTTTATTTTTTTACGCGATATTAAATTGTTTGATTATTTCTTACTAAATATAATTTGGTTTATTTATAGCGGCCGTGGTGGCCGAGTGGTTAGCGTTACGTACTGCCATTCGCAATACCAGGGTTCAAATCCTGGTACGACTAGCATTAAAAAGTTATAGAAAATGAATTTTAGTAAGAAATTAAGTTAAATTTTCTAATTCCGGTCGTCACTCGCCAAGGAATGTCAATCCCTCCGAGTATATTTATGACATGAAAACGTTCGGAGGCGGCTTAGTATAAACTGTAAAACGCATACCACAAACTGGAGGAAGAGCTCGGTCGAAAATCGCTTCAGCGGTTACAAAGCGCCAATTATTGTGATTTATTTTAGTATATTTCAAATAATGATTTTAATACAGCCATATTGTTGGCCAAAACTAAGTTGATTCAATTAAATTAATTTACTTAATTATAATTTCTTTTATTTTATTAGTTTAGTTTTATTTCGTTTCATTTTACTATAATTCATTTTATTCTATTTTACTTCATTTTATTTTGTTATTTACTTTAAGTTATTTAATTTAATTAAATAATTATTATTATATAATATATTATAATAATTTAGTTTATTCTATTTTACATTATTTTATTTTGGTTTAATTTAATATATCTTTATTTTATTGCATTTTATTTTATATTATTTTATTTTTTTATTGCATTTTGAATTTTTTATATTAATCTAATTTAATTCTTTACTTTGATTTCTGTTTTTCTTTTATTTTTGCATTGTTGATTATTATAATATAATTCCTTTCAAAAAAGCGTTTAAGACAGCTTCTTAATTTATAAACAAATATTTGTGCAAAAGATTAACACACTCGTATGTTGTATGTGTGTTCATCAGCGTATTCTGCATTAATTAAATGCGGGCATAACTCATTCGCCTACGCGTCTCAACACCATGCGACGGGGAGTCCGTTTAACAGGTGTCTCTCGAGTATCACATTAGCATAAAGTGAGCAGTGATGTGAAGCTTTAAGTAATTGTATGCGTGTATGTGTCTGACGAGTATTGTATCACTTGTTAGTTATGGCTTAAAAATTTATAGGGGATTAATAAGTGTAGGCAAATATTTAATTGACAAGTCGTTTCAAAATATGTCAATATTATCAGATGCATATGTTTCTTAATTTGTGCTTTTTTAGCAGTTTTATATTTTTACTTTATTTTATCTAAATGCCTACTATAAGAAAATGCTATTCAGTGGCTATTAATGCTACAAATGCAATTGCTCGCCAGTGTTGACACTAATGAAGTTGCATTAGTCACTTAATTATTTAATTCGATTGCATTGGTTTGCCGCAGCGAATTGCTTGCTAAATGCATAATCTGAGTCGTTATGTTACCTAATCGTAATTTTTCTGACTTTTTGGAATTTTTAATTAAGAACTATTTATAATTTACCTGTTCCTCGCTTTGGTTGTGCAAATGTTTGTGTTTGCTCAGTTAACTTCTAATTAATGAAAGTTGTACGTTAATTACATGTAAATCATATGCTATATTTATTGGATTTTAGCACTTAGCACGCAATAGCATATCATTTTGTATAATAATTTTTAAAACATTGTTACTATTGTTGCATCAATGAGCTGTATATGAACTTTTCTTAGCTTTAGCGCTTTAATACTGTGAGAAACAAAAAAACTATTTGCCGTGATTTTTGAATAAATTTGTGCATAATTCGTGACTCGCTTACATCTGTCATGATGACTATCAAGTGCAACTTTGCATTTTTACCTTTCCCATTTAATTTAATTCTTTTGTACAATTGTTCATTGATTTATTTACTCTTTGTTATATGAACTGAAAAAATGATTACTGTTGTTTATGGCACTAGAAATATAATTATAGTGAACTGAGAGCAGAGAAAAAAATTATAACACAATTGACCCAGAGTTTTTTTGGTTTTGGTAAATAATGGAGAAAGCATTATAAAAATTATAAGTATTTAGGGTCATTTAAAGCATTTCATAAACATATATATAATATATAAACATATTGATCGAAAATCACTTCAGTAGTTTCAAATATATATATATAAACATATTTTATATAAACATATTTTACTTTCAACAAAGCCATATGCAGTTTAAATGTTCCAATGAAATATATATATATATATATATATATGTATTTAATATTTTGATTCGTATAGGTGCTGCAAAATGCTTTAAGGTTAATCGCGAATCGTGTTGAAGCTCAAAATCATGAAATAATAAAATACGTAAATAAAATAAAATAAAAATAAAAATACTGGCAAATGGTACGTAAGGTACAAGGTTTTACTAATAAAATAATTGTAAACCAATACAAAATAAATAAATTAGTATTAAAATATAAAAACTCAACAAGTCATGCGCTCTGAATTTACGCGTGAAAGCTATGAATTCCACACATGCAAATGTCCTTAAGCGCACACAAAATATTTCTTTGTATTTGTAAATATAGAACACTCGTATGTGTGAGATTGAATTCATAGAAAAGCGAAATACATAGATAAAAATGTTTGCTTTTTGTTACTTGCAGCATATGCATTCATACAAACGCCGATTGAGCGAAATTACAAATCAATAACAACTCTACAATATTTTTACTTTTCTACACGCTCGTTAGCACACATTTTACGATTTTACAGTTCACAGCATTTGTGTGAGCATTTTCGAAAGCATTCAATATTCATATGACAGCATAAATAAATAAATAAAAAATTTTAATATCTATACTTGTGTATGTACAAGTATTGTGCACTTGCATCTATTATTGAATATTGCAAAAGCCTTTCGAATCGACGAATGCACGCAGAGCATTGGTTAGGGACACAATCAATAGTTTTTAAAATCTGTATGTAATTGTGTGAGTGTGTGTGTCAGAAAAATTCGATTGCTTGCATTTGACTTCCATATGGAAATGCTGAGTAAGCGTATATATGTAACATATGTATCGAAAGTTGCTCTGTACGGGCCAATAAATGTCAGTGAGCCGAAAAATTGCCAAAAAGTGTCGTTGTGCGAGTGTGTGTGCGGGTGGGTATGTGCATGACTTACACCAATGACGAGCAATTTTATTGTTAGATTATTGCTGAAGTGGCCAAAATTCGATGCAACAAGTTGTTGTAAGTCGTTCAATACTAATTTTTTTTTTTCCAAAAAGAGAAAAATGTAAGTATTATTGCTATAAACGAAACACTTTTTATATTTGATTTATTTTTAAAAATTTTGTTCTCAGCAGTATTTACATGGAGAATACTTTTTTTTGGCATTTTTTTATGGAATTTTCGTTTAACTAAAACCCAAATTTAACTTTTAAAGATTATTTTGTTCACTTTTTTGGTAAATTAGTTTGGCTGTTTAATGGGTGACAACCGTCTTTGAGAAAGTCTCTGCCCTATATAATATGTATATACATATAATTGGCACTTTGTAACCCCGCCTTCAAATGGCTGATGGTTTTTTATGAGGTGCTTATTTAGTGTCAACAATACAATCGGAGGGATCGGTTGGAAAATTGATGCAGTAATGTTTTCAAGATGTTGCCAATTTACGATTTCTCAGCAAAATTTTCTTTTCCGATCGGGTATTGTACATTTCAGATGAAAA